CCCGGTAGGGAAGCATGCATGGGGAAGGTCACTGGGCAAGGCCCTGACACCTGGCCCCAGCCCAGCCTACTATCCACTAGCTCTGTGGTCCTGGGCAGGTCAGTGCGTCCTGAGCCTCACTGTGGTCAGTGTAACCTGGAGTGATGGCCCCTTGAGGCTCTGGAGACTCAGCCTTGCTCTGTGTTCACAACGTATCAGGGCTGCAGGGAGGAGCTGGGCAAGGTCTCTCTGACTTCTGACTTCTCCAGGGTCCCACCTTGTGGTCACCAACTGCTCCCCAGAGCACAGCCACCCAGCTCTGTCCTGCAAGATGGCTGCTGAGTTCGACGCCTTCTTGGCCAGTGGACTTAGGTGAGCACTGCTGTGTTCCTGGGCTGAGGTGACCTTTTATCTCAGGTCAACTTCTGAAATAGAGTTGTGTCAAAAGAGCGAGGCGGTCTGGGACCAGTGAGGAGAACCCTGACCTCCTGGGGTCTGACTCACACACCCCCCTCTAGCGGGCAGGTGCAGCCCAGCTGGGTCCAGATCCTGCTGCTTGCAGTCCGTGCGGCCGTGGCCAGTGTCTTAGCGTCACTGAGCCTGGGTCCTCGTGTGTTTAGTATGCTCTCCTTCCTCACGAGCCACACATATACCCCTGGCACAAACGTGGCCTTGACTGGTAGCTGCTCCAGCCTGAAGCTGTTGATTATGGGGACCGGGAACCACCTGCCTCCACAAGCTCACTGTCCCCTTCATCCGCACAGGTGGTTCTGTCACGTGGACGACGACAACTACGTGAACCCGAGAGCCCTGCTGCAGCTGCTCAAAGGCTTCCCGCAGGCGGGCGATGTCTACGTAGGCAGGCCGAGCCTGAACCGGCCCATCCACGCCTCGGAGCCGCAGCCGCGGAACCGCACGGTCGGGCCCTCCCTTCCTCTTTCGCCTATTGGCTGCTGCTTCAAGGGGCGGGGCCGCCGGGAGGGGGCGGGGCCGCGGGAGAGGGGCGGGGCCGCCGGGAGGGGCGCGGAATTGGCTCTTTTTGCCCCATCTCTGCGGGTTCAGGCTGGTTGTTTTCCCTCTTTGAGCCTCATTCGCCTTTGAATCGGGAGATTGATAGAACGCAGGTTAAAGCCCAGTCGGGCACATCGTCAGGCCTCTGTCACCCAGGAGCAGTGGCTTGGTGGAGTAGCGCAGTACAAGGTGAGCAGAGGCTTCCGGACGCCATGGCCCGGCTCCTCGCCACCTGGTATCGCCATGTAGTTGCCAAGGTTGTGAAAATGCTGGACGATGGCTGGCCAGTGATAAATGGCTGTTGCTCTGAGACCCGCAACACTGTCCCCCCATCCCCGCTCCCCGTGAGCCGCCCTCCTCCCAGTGCCATGTTCTCCGCTTAATCAGTACCTGACATGGACACCTGGCGCAAAAGGCGTCCCAGAACCAGCTTCAACTGCGGCCTGATGGACATTGACTTGGGTTGCCAGATTTAGAAAACGAACAAAAAAATCAGACACCCAGTTAAATTTGACTTTCAGATAAACAGTGAAGAATCTTTTGGTATAAATATGTCCCCAAAATTGAATGGTTCTCCCCGTCTCACTGGACTTGAGGTGTTGGGATGGCCCAGCCCCTGTGGGCTCCCTGGGCCCCAAGGAGAAGGAGATTCCCTCTCTGGGACAGGGCCTGGAGCAGGAGCTGGGCCTGCTGTGGGACTCCCCCTCCCTCCCCAGGTCACCATCTGCTTCTTCAGGAAAACCAGAGCTTTAATTATCAGAGGCTCATCAGCCTCTGAGCCCTAATTAAATCTCTCTGGGCCCTGGGGTGTGCGTGTGAGCAATTCCAGGTGAGCCAAGGACTCTCCAGCTCTCCCCTCCCCTCTTGCTTCCACTCTGGCCTGTTACCTCGCTTGAACACTTTGCTCAGGGGCTGAGAACTCCAGTCAGGAACCCACTCGCCAGGTTCACCAGCCAGCCATGCCACCTCCTGGCTGTGTCTTGACTGAAGCCACCTAATCTGTCTGTGCTTCAGTGTCCTATCTGTGAAATAGGCAATAGCAGTCCCCTCTCATGGGGTGTTTGTGAACATAGAGGCATTAAGTAAGGTCACTTATCCAGGTTCTTGGATCAGGACCTACGTGTAATAGACACCAGTAAGCTCAGCCATCAGCATCAAACTCAGCTGAGCCTTGGTTTCTGAGTCACATGCTTCCTGTGAGTTCAGTGCCCTGCTGGGCATATCCAGGCCCTGTACCCCACGACATGCACAATGCCCTCCTTGGCATACACTCCCAAAGCAGGATCCCAGGACTCTGCTCTGCATTGTTTCAGAACCCAAAAGTATTTAGGCCTATTTAGATCCTGACTGCCCCTGCTCCCCCCGCCCCCACGGCAGGCCAGCAAAAGGAGCAAAATGTCTTGTGGTGAAGTCCAGCTTTGGGACTTGAGCAAGTCATCTCCTTTCTATGTACCTTGGTCAGTTCGCCTGGGCTCAGCACATCAGCGCTTAGGACAAGATTGCTGTTCTTACTGTAATTATCTGGAAGTAGAAAGCACAAACTCATTCGTTTAAAAAACAAAAACAAGCCTGTTGCAGGTGGCTCATACCTGTAGTCCTAGCTATTCAGGAGGCAGAGATCAGGAGGATCCAGGTTTGACCCAGCCTGGGCAAATAGTTCCCAGACCCTACCTCGAAAAAAAACTCATCACAAAAAAGGGCTGGTGGAGTGGCTCAAGGTGCAGGCCTTGAGTTTAAACCCCAGCACCACAAATAAATAAATAAACAACAACAAGCATTTATTAGGCACCTTCTGCATGTCAGGTCCTCAAGAGGCATTCTGCCTGTGGAGCCTGTCTTTTCTTTAAAGGACATTTCTAGAATTAAGCTAATCAAGGGTTTTAGGAGGACACCTCTGGACCAAAGTGCTCATAAGTGATAGCTCTGAGGCCCAGAGACAGGAAGTGGCTTTCTCAAGGTCACACAGCTGTGCAGGCAGAGACTGCAGACTCAGCTTTCTCATTGCCCATCCAGGGTTCTTCTCATTGCTGCATCATAGGAGATAACTCAGCCCAATGCAGCATGCATTAATTAAGCTCCAAGTATGGACCTGGGAGAATCTAACCTGGGGAGAACTGGTTAGACTAGGAGATGATTCAGTTGAAGCTTTAGAGAAATCTGTGGGTGAAGTCGGGGGTCCTCACAGAAGAGTGAGGAAGAGAGCTCAGCTGGGTGCCCGTGGTGGTGGCAGGCATCAGGGAGTGGTTTAAACGCTAAAGGGATGCTATCTGTTCCTGTGATAGAGATGGCAAGAGGTTCCCTGGCTGCAGGGACTCCAAAGACTGCTTGGCCTTGCTTTACTCCAGGAATACTCTGTACTCATCCTCTCTGTCTGCAGAAAACCTTTCTCTGTCCCAGCAGTTGGGAGTGGGGAAGCCAGTGCAGGTGGCCTGGTGTAGGTGGCATCAGGACTCAACTCCCCAGCCTAGTGACCCTGTAGAAAGGATTTCTTCCTGGTAGCCAACATATGGCCCTTTGGCAAGGACTCTGATTGGTTGGCCTAAGTCAAGTGCCTGTTGTTGAGCCAATCACTGAATCAAGGAGGCGTGGCAGTGTTCTCCATCATTCCTGAGGCACCTGCCCACCTCTGTGGCCTAGAGGAGCAGGTGCTGTGTTTGGCACCACCACCAAACCACGGGCAGCGAGGTAGAGACATTTCTCGGGGGAAGAGGGTAAGACATGTGGGATAAAATAGCACAATGCCCCCTTTAACTAGAATCTTGCTGGATTTGGGTCTGATCATGATCTCACCATTCATAATTAGCTGTGTGACTTTGGGTCTGGTTTTCTTATTTATACTATGGACACAATAATACCATGCCACAGTCAGACTCCAGAAAGATGTGAAATAAAGAGCTTTCAGACCATGCTGCTTGGGGTAAAGGGAGGCCTGGCTGTCCCTCCTGTCCCCAGGCTCACACTGAACCTTGGCTTTCCTCTTCCCAGAGGCTGGTACAGTTCTGGTTCGCCACTGGGGGTGCTGGCTTCTGCATCAACCGTAAGCTGGCTTTGAAGATGGCCCCGTGGGTCAGGTAAGTCAGGAGCCAGGGGTTGCAGGAAAGTGGGGAGGGGTGACTACTGGAGTGCATGAGGGACCTTTATGGCAGGAAGGGTGAGGGGCACATAGGAGAGACTGCCCTCATTCCCTTCTGGTTAGAGTGGCCCCCATTGTGGGGAGCAAGTCATCAGCTACCCTGTCCTCAGGGTTGCACAGTCCAGCACATGCTGCCAGGGTCTCAGTTTTCCCTTCTGTAAATAGATCTGAAAATATAATGGCCGATAGTGTTGTAAGGGTTAAATGAGCTGTACCTGCTGGGAGCCATGGACCCACTGGCTGATTTGGCCCTCTTCTGACCTTCTGAGCAGCCACTGCTGCAGGGCAGTGAAGGCCAAGTGTAGGGGCTCTGACAGGAGGGAGAAATGCCTTTTGGTTTGGGACAGGAGAGAAGGCTTCCTGGAAGAGGTGACATTTAACCTGGGCAGCCCTATTGGATCCCAGAGGAGCAGGATCCCAGGGTTAGAGGAAGTCCTCAGTGTGGGGATGGGGAATGGGGGAAACTGGCACTGCAGAAGTGACAGAGGCCTGGCCTCTTGAGGTCTTCCTGGACTGGCTGTTATTAATAACACCCATGGCCATGAACTTGTAGGAAGCATTGACTCTGAGTGAGGCTGTGCTCCACCAAGAGGACCACAACACCCTGGGGGAGAAGATGGCATTGGCCTTATTCTATAGTCGTGGAAACTGAAGCACCAAGAGATTAAACAAATCTAAGGTCACCCAGGTTCATGCTCAGTTTGACCCAAGGCTTGCATGCTTTGCCACTTTACCAGCCTGCCCGCCTTGCCCTGGGTGGAGAGGGCTCCCCAGGAAGATTGATAGCTGAGTGGGAGTGGGCACATTGTCCCAGGGCTTGTCTACAGCAGGCGTGTGCATGTGACCAGAGGTCATCCCTGGACTTGGGACATTTCTGCCCACTGCTGTGGTACCTTTGTGTGAATTAGAAAAAGTGGCCCCATCCCTATCCAGAAGGTGCAGCTTGTGGGTACACAGCCTGGGGAAGGGACTAAGCTGGATTTCTGTGCCCTCGCCCCCTGACTGGGTGACCTGGGAAGGGGTCTTGATGGGTGTGCAGCCAGGCGATGGCCTTCCTTGAGACACGCTCCTCCCTCCCTCAAACTGGCTGACCCAGCTCGTCCAGACAGACTCCACTGAAACCTGTGGCAGCCCACCTTGCTCTCCAGGTGTCCTGCGCTGCCTGCATCCCTCTAAATGATGGCTAACCTGTCTGTCTCCTCCAGGATGGGGGCTTTCTGTTGAGAGCAGAAAGTGTTTCTTCCTCATCTCTCTGTGCTCAGCCCAAACCTCCTGCCTTCAGGAGGTTGTCGAGTTCAGCAATGAATTATGTGAGTGAATAAAGGAGTGAATGAGTAAGAAGGGAGGAATTTATAAAGAACTTCTCACCATTCCTTCTCTGACTCCCCTATGGAGGCAGGGCCATTGCCGTCCCATTTCACAGAGGGGACTGAGGCTCTCCAAGGTTCCTGACTTGCCTGAGGTCCTGCAGCAGACAGAGGTGGCCTCAGGAGCTGGGGTTGAGCTCTGCTGTGCCACGGTGGCCTGGCAGAGGGCCTCCTGGTGAGTGGGGGGAGGGGCTTAGGTGTGGAGGGCCTGGTCAGTGGTTACAGCCCAGCTCTGTCCCTCAGTGGCTCCCGCTTCATGGACACTTCCGCTCTCATCCGGCTGCCTGATGACTGCACAGTGGGCTACATTGTGGAGTGCAAGCTGGGCGGCCACCTGCAGTCCAGCCCCCTCTTCCACTCCCATTTGGAGACCCTGCAGTTGCTGGGGGCTGCCCAGCTCCTGGAGCAGGTAAGCCCGCCTCAGGGCAGATGGCCATGGGTGGGAGGAGGAAGGGTCCCTTTAAAGGAACATGCATTTGAAATCAACCTAGAACTCAATATTATTGTGCCTGTTTATCCCCTGCTAATGGGAAACTGAGGCCCAGAGTGGCTGAGGACCTCCTAAAGGCGCACAGTGACTCAGTTGCCCTACTGCTAACTCTTTAGGGTAAGCATTTGTGATGTGCAATTCTTTGATCTGGGGTTCAAATGCTACCAGCTGGGAAGACTGTGTAGACAGGTCTACAAGGTTGCCCTTGAGTCTCCCCCCCCACCCTGCTTCCTGTCCCTGCCCTCTGTCTGTCTGTCCATTCTTCAGACTTCCACCCTCCGCACATCCCTCCCGAGGAGCCAAGTTGGCTCCTCGGACTCTTCGGTCCTTAGCCCCCTCCTTGTTCTGAGCTTTCCTGGCCACTGTGCTGCTTTTCCTTCTAACATCAATGTTACTGGGAGCACATCCCTCCCACCACCCCACTCCCTCCGCCTACCCCCCCCAAGATAACGGCTCTGCTCCTGTGTCAAATGGGCTCTGCCTTGCAGATGCTGCCCCATAGGTGGTCCTAGGCGTGGAGGCCCTGGAATCTTCCAGCCAACAACCATATGAATCAGACCGTTTGGGGTACAAATGGCAGAAACTCACCCGGACTGGTTAATGAGGAGGAAACTGTCAGCCTGCCTAACTGAGAAGCGCGGGTCTGGCTTGCTAGGTCTGGCTGGGTCTAGATGTTCAGAAGGTCACATTCTGTCTCCTCTCCCTCACGTTGGCCTTGTTCTCAGACAGCTTGCCCTACATGCTGGCAGGATGGAAGTCTCATCTCCAGTTTCCACCCCACCATGTGAGAAGAGCTCCTCTGTCCCCCAAATCTTGAAATTGATTCATGGGTCTGATGGCCTGGCCTGGTCATGTGACCTACCTCCTTCCAGAGCCTGGAGTCAGTGTCAATGGCCAGGCTTGGGACTGGGGTGGGTGGGGTCCATCCATAAAGATTGCAGGGCATAATGCCAGGAAAGGCAGGCAGAGTTTGGGCAGTCCAAAGCAAGGCTCCCTAATGGTTAGTGCTTTGAGCACCCACGTGCCAGGCACCATGCTGGGCCTCACCTCTGTCGTCCTCTGGTTACAATATGGGAGGCCATGTTGGCATATGGTTGGCACAGGGACCCCTCAGATAACAAAGTCCTTGGATGCTCAAGTCCCTTACATAAAACGCTGTAGTTGGCGTAGGACCTACACAAGTATTGCATGCCTCCCACATTCTAGATTACTTGGAACATCTAATTAAATATAAATGCGATGTAAATTATTACACTACATTGTTTAGGAATAATGAGACTTACACAGTATGTACAATGTATCTGTACAGACTACAGAGGGCCAACTCACAAACATTGTCACCACTCTACAGATGGGGAAACTGAGGCCCAGAGAGCTAAAGTAACCATCGCACACAGCTGGTATAGGCAGACTGGCCCTGAAGTCCCAGTCTCTAACCATGGTGTGTGTCTACCTCTTAGCTGAAGTCCTTGTTCCATGTCCTCCTGCCATGGTGCAGCCGAGGCTCTGGGCGGAGGGGGTTTCCCGAGGCCTGGAGTGAGTCTCAGAAACCTCACCTCACTGGAAAGATCCCTTCCCCCGTGACAGTCAGTCTCCAAATCCCTAGGACCAGCTTGTGACTCAGCCTCCGGGTGAACAGTGTTGGCAAGCCAATGGACGTGGCCACGCTGTGACCTGCAGGCCATCCAGTAACCTTCCTGGAGGGGTGGGTTCCTGGTGAAGCAGTCGCTGCCCATGGTGGAGGTTTGCTGTGCCTCTCGAAACACCCTGTGCCTCCTCTGCTAGTGCCCAGGTGCTGCCCCCTTGTGGGGATCCCCAGTGGGACACCCCCTAACACGGCTGCTTCTCCCTGCCCAGGTCACCCTCAGCTATGGAATCTTTGAGGGGAAACTCAATGTCATCAAGCTACCGGGCCCCTTCTCCCCTGAAGAGGACCCCTCCAGGTGAGTGTGTTGCTGCAACTGTAGGATGGCGGTGAGGAGGTGAGACTGAGCCCAGGCATCCAAAGATGGAGGAACTGGGAGGGAGACGAGTGTGACAGGCCCTAGTGTCCAAGGGCAGGGAGCTGAGAGCAGGAGTGGATTTCAGTTCCTGCTCTGCCATGGGCTTTCTGTGTGACCTTAGATATGTGTCTTACCCTCTCTGGGCTTCGTCTTCCCATTTGTAGCACTGGGAGGCTGGACATGGTGGGTCTGTAGGGCTCTCTCAGCTCTGAGTCTCTGGAATTCTTCAGGTGCCCTGGAAGAGTGACCTGTCTCCTCTGAGTGAAGGAGGTGCTCCAGTGGTGGGACTTCTTTGGCACTCTTAATTGGTTCTTCTAGGTGGGAAGAGGGTTGGAATGGTACCTTCTGCTCCAAACAGTCCCCAGGGAGTTTGGGGCTGCACATCTCGCCCTCCATGGGATGGAGCAGATGCAGATCACAGCCTGTGATGGGCAGCTTCCTCTGTAGCCCTGCGGCTGGCTGTGGCTTGTATTCCCGGTGGGGTGGGAGGAATGGGGGAGGCACTTGAACTCTAGAACTGATGCTTCATCCCCCCAGCACCCTGGCTAAGCAGCAGGCTGGATGCAGCTTGCAGGACTCCAGCCGTGGGGAGCTCCCCATCATCGTCTGTAGCATTCTGTTCCTCTCTGGGCAGGTCTCACAGTCCCCACCCCTTGTCCCATTCCTGCCCCCTGTCTGTGACATGCAGAGGCCTTAGGAACTGGGGAAGGAGCCTCAATCCTGCCTTCAGGGTGACAAGCAGGGGCTGGGGAGCCGTGGGGTGAGCCCTGGGCAGGGAGAGGGGCCAGGCCCTGTCTGCAAGAGTGGGGAGGGAGGGGCGTACAGAAGTGCAGGCATGAAAGGACAGCGTAAGGAGAGCCCTGGCGTCCACTGGGGAGCGGGCTGGCCAGGAAGGCCTCTGGAGAGGTGACGTGGAAGATGATGTAGCATAGGACCTGAGAGCAGCAGCAGTCCCCAGGAGAGGTGGGTGTTCCTGGCAGGGGGGACACTCATGAGCCTGGTGGCCGCTGCTGAAGGAAGCCAGAGTCACCAGTGCATGGTGATAAGGAGACAGTGGTGTCTAATGTGGCTGGACAAGTGGCCGGGGACTTCCCAAGACTGTCATAGGCTGTATCTGGACTGTAGATTCATCTGAAGTATGGGATCTTAGGAGGTTCCTGGCCCTAAGGTTTCCAGACCTGCCTGTCTTGGGGCAGAAGGCCCTGGGGCCAGGACTGTATTGAGCAAGTTACACGTTCCAAGGAGACTGAATCTGGCTCAACATGGGAAAAAATATAAAAATTCAAGCTGAAATGAGTGACCTTGTAATGGGATAAGCTGCCCATCAGAGGGGCTTTGTATGCCTGGCTACACTGCCAAGAGGTTTAAGAACAGATATTTAGACCAGATGTGGTGGTACACAGCTGTAATCCCAGCTACTTGGGAGGCAGAGGTAGGAGGACCATGGTCTGAGGTCCACGTAGGCAGAGTTAATGAGACCCTATCTCAAAAGTGTACGCAAAACAAAAGGACTGGGGGCATGGCTCAAGTGGTAAAATGCTTGATATGAAATTTCCTGTAAGTCTGAAGTTCTAGAAGTCACGTTTCAGGAGGGAGCTGGAGACTCAGACCTATGGGGTCAGAAGATCCGCGGTCTCCTTCTGCCTCTCTGGATTTCCAAGTTCCTCTAAACCAGCGCTTCTCAACCAGGGGTTGAGATGCCCCCAGGGGACATTTGGTGATCTCTGGAGAGTTTTATTGTCACAACCTGGGGAATGCTACTGGGATCTGCTAAGCAGAGGCCACTCAGCATCCTATAAGGGACAGCATGGCCCCATGACAGGGTTGTGTGGCCCCAGGTGGTAAGAATTCCTGCTGCAGCCATCCTGTGACACTGGCCCCTCTAGAAGGGGAGGAGGACAGGGAGTCTAGGGTGACTTAGCGTCTGTCTTTGGTCTCTCTGCAGGTTCCGCTCTCTCCACTGTCTCCTGTACCCAGATACACCCTGGTGTCCCCAGCTGGTGGCCCGATGAACCCTGAATTGCTGGGCAAAGGTTGACTGAGGCTTCTGGCTGTCCTTGCCTCCCAGGGCAGCACCAAGCACCCTGGCAGTTCCTTTGGGTGGTGAGAAAGCCCAGAGTCTGGATGGCAGCTGGAGCTGGAGGTGTCCCAGGCCTGGGGACCAGGCCATTGTCACAGAGGCTGCAGGGGCTGGGCCTCCATGGAACAAGGGCAGGGGATATGGGAGCTGGGTTGGAACTCAGGGTGGTGACATGGGCCCTGGTTGTGGTCTGGCCCTTGCCCCTGCCTCTGGTCTCAGTCAGTCCCCTGTGCTGTGAGGGCCACCACTCCTGACTCCCTGGGTTGGGTCCCCATCACTGAAGGATACAAGGGAATGACTGCAAATCCAGAGCCTGAGCTGTGACCTTCTTTCGAGTCTCTGGTGGCCCTCTGCTCGCCACACCTTGCCAGCAGGCTCAGGCCCTGATCATGTGGGTCCCAATCAGTCAAGACTATCCTTTTGCTCACTTTCCCAGCTTCCCTACTGCGAGCGGCAACTGTGTGGCCCAGTCCTGATCAGTGGGAACTGAACAAAGCCAATAGAGAGGTTTCTGGGGGAGGTTTTGCAGCTCCATACTGCCATCTTCCTGCCATGAATGTGGTTGTGATGACTGGATTTGGGGAAACCACTTTACCACCATGAAGGAAAGGCCAAGACAATCTCCTGTAGCTATCCCTTCCAGCATCTGGTTCTGTAAGAAATTAAACCTTATTTAAGTCTGTCTTGGTGCAGTTTTCTGCTACATAGTCAAAGTGTTCTTGAGTAAGACAGGGTCCTTGATCTGTCTGTCACAGTGGTTATGAGACTCACTTTTGGTGGTATAAGGAGATGACTGCACAAAGTTGGGCATGGTGGATCACCTATAATCTCAGCTACTAGGAAGGCTGAGATCATGAGGATTGCGTTTTGAGGCCAGGCCAGGCAAATAATTCCCAAGATCCTATCTCAACCAATAGCTGGGCGCAGTAGTGTGCACCTGTCATCCGAACCTACATGGGAGGCCAGCCTGGCAAAAAGGTTTGAGAGACCCCCATCTCAATGGTACAAAAAAAAAAAGCTGGATGTAGTGGTGCGCATCTGTCACCCAGTGATGTTGGGAAGGCTTAAAGTAGGAAGGTTGAGGTCCAGGCTGGCCTGGGCAAAAAAGTTAGATCCTGTCTCCAAAATAACCAGAGGAAAACGGGCTGGAGGTGTGACTCAAGCAGTAGGGCATCTGCCTTGCAAACAGAAAGCCCTGAGTTCAAACCCCAGTACCACCAAAAAAAAAAAAAAAAGGGTGAGGAAGGGCTCCGTGAGTGATGACATCAGTGTGTGTGTCAGAGGGGGAGGGTGTGTATGGATGTGTGTGTGACATGTACCCTCCTACACATCTCTGTGTGAGGATGCATGTGGGGGCATGTGTACTTGTGGCCATGTCACATATGTGCGTGTACACACAGGAGTGTGTGTGCTGTGAGGGGCTGTCATGCTGGCAGGGGTTCCTCCTTTTCTCTGCCCCCGGTGTGGGGCAGGGTACAGATACCCCAGATGAGGATTCGGCCTTGGGTGTCAGATACAGAAGGTGGGGGTGATTTGACAGCCAAGGCAGGTGCTAAGCAAGCACAAGTGTCTTTAGAATCTTGGTCCTAAAGAGATTGAGTGGGTGAATGAAAGTGATCTGTGGGACTGGCACAGTGGTACATTCCTGTAATCCCAGATTGGGAGGATCAAGGTTCAGGGCCACCCCAGACAAAAAAAGTTTTCAAGACCCCCATCTCAACCAATCAAAAGTTTAGCACGGTTGTATGCATGTGTCATCCCAGCCACTTGGAGGCCTAGGTAGGAGAATCGAAGTCTGAGGTCATCCCTGGACAAAAACATGAGACCCTATCTGAAAAATAACTAAAAGCAAAAAGGGATAGGGACATGGCTCAAGTGGTAGAGAGCTTGCCTAGCAAGCTCAAGGCCCTAAGTTCAGAACTGCAGCACTGCCAACAATTAATAAATAAAAGGAAGTGATCATGTGACCGTCAGGCATGGTGGCACACAGAGGTCTCTTCTCCCCACCCCATGTCATGTTCAGTGATGCTGAAAGAAGGAAGGGGAGATCCTGAGAACTAGAGGGGCCCCAATGCAGTCGGACAGGGCTGGGGACCACGGCCTTTGCCCTTGAAGGACCAGCGTCCTTGTTCTGCCACACCTGTGTCTGAGATGTCTGGAGCCAGTAAGTACTTGAACCTCAGTCCCATTTTCCAAGGAGGATCCTGAGGCCCAGAGATAGACAGCCACAGGCTTATCGTCACTCAGCGAGTCAGGTGCAGAGCCCAGCCGCGTGGGCTCTTCTAAAGCCTGCTCTTTCTGGCTGACCTCATGCTGGGTTTGTGGATGCCAGCCCCTGCTATAGCCAAGTGAGGGTTGTCCCAACCCTGCAGCTTGGTGGAGGATGGAATGGCACCAACCACGGCCATTGCTCTCACTCTGCACAGGCAGGCTGCTGGCCTGCTGGCCTGCTTTCAGAAGCAGCAGCAGATTTTCGGGTTGTTCCTAGATCCTGAGGGTCAGTGGAGGGACGAGGACCCAGGCCATCTGCTGGCTTTATTGTCCCAGAATAGCTGGGGGAGGGAGTGCGAGCCGAGTCAGCAGGGATGGACACTGGGATGAGGATGGAGGAATGTGTTTTTTAACCCTCTGTCAGCTTGTGAGGGAGGTCCTGAAGCTGCCTGAGCCCTGTGCTGAGGGACTCATCTGAACCCAGAGGCAAGGACGAGGTAGGGAGTGCTTGCTGTACCCCCTGTTCTTCTGGGATGCTGAACCTGGTCTGCCCGTCCTAGAGTGGGGTAAGTCGAGGGCTGTGGGTGGCCACCGGCCCTTGGGCTGGGCAGTTGAGGGTGAATACTGTGATAAGAAGGACAGAGAATAGAAGCTCTGCCTAGAGTGGGCATTAGGAGGGTCTGGATCCCTCCTGCCAGTCCCTACCCCCAGCCAGGAGTGAGCAGGGGCCTGAGGTGAGCCTGCCCCTCCCAGAAATTGGCCTTCTATGAGCGGTGAATGGTGAGATGGGTGCTATGCTAGAGGCTGGTGACCAAGAACTCAGCTTTGCCCCAGTGTGGCTGTTGATATCACTAGAAATATAAACAGAAGTAGAGCTCGTTAGGTGCCTGCTGTGTGTGTGGACTCTGTTCTAAGCACTTGATATAAATTAGTTCATATTTCTGGGTGTGGTGGCTCATACCTGTAATCCCATCTACTCACGAGGTAGAGATCAGGAGGATCATGATTTGAGGCAAAAAGTTAGTGAGACCCTGTTTCAACCAATAAGCCAGGTATGGTGGCTTGTGCCGGTCATCCCAGTTGTGTGGGAGGCAGAGGTAGGAAGATCAAGTTCCAATGCCAGCCCCAAGGCAAAAACACAAGACCCTATCTGAAAAACAACTTTTAAAAATTAGGTGACGTCAAGTTCACCTGGTACTATTATCACTGTCACTGTACAGATTAAGAAATTGAGGCATGGGGGGAGAAGGCCTTTGGTCCGAGTCGAGGGGCTTCTGGGTACCAGAGCCCAGGTTTGAGGTGCACAGAGCCAGGCTCTGTGGTGGTCACCTTGGTGTGGGGTGACTGTGGAGGGTGGGAGAGTCTCACCAGGCCTGACTCCGCCCCCCTGCCCACCTTGGGCCCTGCACCCTTGGGCAGGTGGCTTCACCGTTCACTGGCTGCACCTGTAAAATAAGTGCCAAGATTCTTCCACAGCATGTGGGGAGGCTTCTAGAAAGCTTCTGACAGGGTAATTGCTCAGTAAATCAACCTTCCTGCCCTCTCTGAGCTCATGTTCTCAGCTGTGAGGGAGGCGGTCCCCATCACAGCAGCCCCCTTGCTGCTCCTGCGGGCACCTGCCCCTTGCTCATGGCTCTGGCACGTTGTGCTTGACGGCCTCCTCCTTCCTTTGGCAGGTGCCAGGCTGTTGGCACAGTCCTTCCCTCTCCCTGGGACGCAGCCCCTCCTGCCTGGCTGTTCTGGTCAAGTCCCACCATCCCGTCTCCTCTTGGGAGTCTCTCGCAGACCACCCAGGACACAGCAGCCTCCGGTCTCTGTTGGTCATCTCCCCAGCAGTGACTGCACACCCCGCTCTCCCAGGCAGGCCTCTTGGGGGGGCCTCACTTCTGTATTTGCTCGCTGTCTGTCCCACCTGACCACCGGCTCCAAGACCCCTGCTCCTTTGGCTCTGGTCACTGCAGTCACTAGCCCTGCTGCAGATGACCCTCTGGATCTAAGTATTCAGTTTACAGGAATTGGAGGACACGGGTGTTCAGTCCATTCTGTCAGCCGCAGGGACAGTTTCTGCAGACTAAGGACCTGGTATCTGCTTCTTCTTTGGTGGCACTGGGACTGGAACTCAGGGCCTGGAGTTTGCTAGGCAGGCGTTCTGCCACTTGAGCCACACTCCCGGCCCTTTAGCTGTTAGTTTGTTTTTCCGGTAGGGTCTTGTGGAAATCTTACCCTGGTGAGACTTGGACCATAATCCTTTTTCCTCTACCTGTGGAGTAACTGGGATTATAGATGTGCACAACCACACCAAGCCCAGGACTTGGTTTCTTCAATAAGCAAAAATGGCACAAAAAAAAAAAAATGGAAGGGAGAAAGAGATGAAAAGAAATGTAAATGACATAGCATCAAAATGCAGTGCACAGACCTGGTTTTGATCTTGATTCAAATCAGTGGGCCCTAAGAAAGCCTTTTTGAGGAAAATGAGGAGATGTGATCAGGGTCTGTGCACTAGACGATGTGAAGGAACCACTAATGTCATTAGCAGTGACAATGATCTTGAGGCTATTTTGAGAAATGTTCTAATATGAGATACATTCTGAAATATTTATGTGTGAAGTGATATGATGTCTGGTTTTCATTGAGAAGAGACCTGGGGAGAGGCATGAAATAATGGCAAGGGGGTGGGGAAGTGGCTAAAGCCGGGTGGTAGGCACATGGGGGTTCACTGAGCCACCCCCCCGTTTTGTGTGTTTTTGAAAATTTCCATAATAAAAGAAGCATTAAGTAATAATACAGTGTCTGTGGATATTCTGCTTTGCAGCCATGGCTCCCTTCTCTCCCTCCACTCCCCGTTCCCCCTTCCCTGCCCCACATTCAGGCTTGGAGAACATCTGTTTTCACCAGGCACAGCTGTCCTGGCCATGCTTCCTGTTCTCTGCACGAACCCAGAGAGAGGGGAGGCAGCCCTTGGCTGGATGCTGGCCCTGCCTGATTTGCACTTGGCCCATTGCCTGGTTTCCCTGAGGCCCACCCTGATTTCTCTGGGTTCTGAGCACTTGTCCCAGCTGCTTTATAACCCGGTGTTCCTCTCCTTGGGCACGTTCCCTGCCCCCCATTTCCCCACTCATCCTCTAGTAAGATTTGACTGTTCACTTGCAGGGAGGGAGTCTGGTGCTACTCAGGGAGTCAGGTAAAGCCCTGCTGTCAATCAGGAGCCCAAATCCCAGTAGAGAACACATGGCACAACATGTTAGCAGGGATAGATGCAGCATGGTGGCAGGGAGGGAGGGTTAAATTCTGGGAGATACAGGGGCAGCAGGAACCAGGACATCTGCTGTGGGAGGTGGTGTTGGATCTGGTTCTGAAGAGCCAGGTGCATCACACCCTCCTGGCAGACAGGGCTGCTGAGGCCCTGGGGAAGATGTGGACCTCGGCTGTGGTTGTGGTCAGTCTTGTTATCATCCAGGAGAAAGGAAAG